GAGAGAGACTAGAGAGAGACCAGAGAGAGACTAGAGAGAGACCAGAGAGAGACTAGAGAGAGAGACTAGAGAGAGAGACCAGAGAGAGACCATAGAGAGACCAGAGAGAGGCCATAGAGAGACCAAAGAGAGAGACTAGAGAGAGACTATAGAGAGAGACTATAGAGAGAGACCAGAGAGAGACTAGAGAGAGACTAGAGAGAGACCAGAGAGAGACCAGAGAGAGACCAGAGAGAGACCAGAGAGAGACCAGAGAGAGACTATAGAGAGAGACTATAGAGAGAGACCAGAGAGAGCGACTAGAGAGAGACCAGAAAGAAAGACCAGAGAAAGACCAAAGTTCAATCTAAATGTTGCTCAACCCTCTTATTAGCAATGCAGACGGCCATCTTGTTCTAATATAAATAATTCAAGGAAAAATACAAAAAAAATACATCAAAAAATCACAAACTTCTGCTTGTTCGGATGCTATTTCCTGCATGATTTATTTATTATACGTTTATTTGATAGGGACGGAACAAGAAGCATAAAGCTAACAGCCAATTCTCAGACCTGGTCCCTATTTTTCTCCAGAACGGATTAAATCACAATCACAGAAGTAACACAAAAAAGTTTCCCCCATTTTAAAGTCTGTTTAAAGTCTGTTTGTTTGCAGCCCACACACCAGAGACACAAAAACCATTATCACTCCACGTTCCTCTTCGGCTCCGTCACCGAAACCCGACCTCTCCATGAATCGTAGCGACGGGACGGACGCTTCGAGGAGGTCCTATTTTCACCGTGGCGTATTAACCCCGATAAATCTCACACAATAAAAGTGTAATGCGGCGTCTGGATATGCACCGAGAGACAGCCGCACAGGACTGGGGCCGGGATTACGGTCCGAAACCCAACCGCCCTCACCCCCACCCGGGCTTTAGACCCCAAATCCAATAAGTCGACAGCTATTCTATTCTCTACACACACGTACGCACACATACGCACAGTTACGGACACACACAGACATGGTTTGCATTGTGCGTCTGCAGCTTGTTGAACTTTTTTGGCCGGTGAAAGTGTCAGAAGATTCACAAAAACTATTACGGGAAAAAGGAAATAGCATGCTTCTAGGTCTCCCATCACAGCACTAACCAGACCCTGTCCTGCTTAGCGTCAGAGGTATGATAGGGTCTGGCTTTGACATGCAAGTTCGACCGCTGTACTGTATATAGTCCATATGAATACGAGATTCCAAAGGTGCAATGCTTGATTTTCTAGGTTAGGAGATTCTTTCTTATGTTAATCTACATGTTATCTTATTCTCCGGGAAAAAAAGCAAAAATAAATTCTATGTTTGAGATTATGTGACATCACAAGGGCTAAATTAAAGCTCACGTCTGCGGAAAAGTCAGTGACCATCCACCAAAGTCTGAATATCTTGGTAAATAGATTAGTTAAGATTCTCTAACCTATAAATCAGGCGTATCTAACTTTCAAAGCACAAAAACCTCGAAATACAAACAAAAATAACTCAAACTATTTCCAATCTCACAAAACGTTTTTATCACTTTGTATTTTGGCCTTTATTTACGTCTGCTTTTTCAGAGAGAGGACCAAACAGCTCTCAGCCCAAGTGACTGATAGAGCTCTTTCTATCATAACAAATCCAAATATAAAGCTAGCATGTTGGCATGTTAGCCTGTTAGCACGGTCTCATCTGTTCAATGCTCTGTCTGTGGTTCAAGCAAAACGTATTATTTATTCAAAAAACACACATTTTCCAGCTTTAAATTGCCTTTCTCACACTGAGACAAGCCTCAGAGTCTTAAAAACTATCTCTACTGTATTTTAATCCTTTTCCCCCAAAAACGTATTAGTGATATTCCGAGCCCGTCCTGGGAGCTAACCTCTATTTGTGTGCTGTACTTTTGGGGGTTTTCTCTGCGTGTCCAAACATGTTTATCAGCGCTGGTGTAATTCCGAGGCTGATGGATTCGCTGCTGAGGGAAGTGATTTTCTGCAATATTTCACTGGGTTTTTGCATAATTAGCTGAAGGAGACGAGAGAGAGAGAGGGAGAGAGAGAGAGAGTCAGAGAGAGAGAGAGAGAGAGAGAGTCAGACAGAGAGAGAGAGAGAGAGTCAGACAGAGAGAGAGAGAGAGAGTCAGACAGAGAGAGAGAGAGAGAGTCAGAGAGAGAGAGAGAGAGGAGATATATTTAGCACTGGGGATAATGAATGAGATGATGGTGTTCGATGGTTGGATGTACTGCACTTGATAAGAGCCGTGTTTACTTTGGTTTTACTTTATTATCTCTTATTATTTTACGTATAAAGACCGATAAATGAGAAATAAGCTAGCAGCTAGCATAGCAAATCTTAAATAATACATTATGTTTGTTCCAACAGAAAGAAGTCATTGAAAAATTGTGTGTGGAGTTGGAAGAAAGAGCTCTGTAGAATCAGATCCGCCAGAAGGAGATCAAAGAGAGACCAGAGAGAGACTAGAGAGAGACCAGAGAGAGACCAGAGAGAGACCAGAGAGTCCAGAGAGAGACCAGAGAGAGACTAGAAAGAGACCAGAGAGAGAACAGAGAGAGACCAGAGAGTCCAGAGAGAGACCAGAGAGAGACTAGAAAGAGACCAGAGAGAGAACAGAGAGAGACCAGAGAGAGGCCAGAGAGAGAACAGAGAGTCCAGAGAGAGACCAGAGAGAGACTAGAAAGAGACCAGAGAGAGAACAGAGAGAGACCAGAGAGTCCAGAGAGAGACCAGAGAGAGACTAGAAAGAGACCAGAGAGAGAACAGAGAGAGACCAGAGAGTCCAGAGAGAGACCAGAGAGAGACTAGAAAGAGACCAGAGAGAGAACAGAGAGAGACCAGAGAGAGAACAGAGAGAGACCAGAGAGTCCAGAGAGAGACCAGAGAGAGACTAGAAAGAGACCAGAGAGAGAACAGAGAGAGACCAGAGAGTCCAGAGAGAGACCAGAGAGAGACTAGAAAGAGACCAGAGAGAGAACAGAGAGAGACCAGAGAGAGGCCAGAGAGTCCAGAGAGACACCAGAGAGAGACTAGAAAGAGACCAGAGAGAGAGACCAAAGAGAGACCAGATAGAGACCTGAAAGAGAGCAGAGAGAGTCCAGAGAGAGACCAGAGAGAGAACAGAGAGAGACCAGAGAGAGGCCAGAGAGAGACCAGAGAGAGACCAGAGAGTCCAGAGAGACACCAGAGAGAGACTAGAAAGAGACCAGAGAGAGGCCAGAGAGAGACCAGAGAGAGACCAGAGAGAGACCAGAGAGAGACTAGAAAGAGACCAGAGAGAGAACAGAGAGAGACCAGAGAGAGGCCAGAGAGAGACCAGAGAGAGACCAGAGAGTCCAGAGAGACACCAGAGAGAGACTAGAAAGAGACCAGAGAGAGAACAGAGAGAGACCAGCGAGAGACCAGAGAGAGACCAGAGAGAGGCCAGAGAGTCCAGAGAGACACCAGAGAGAGACTAGAAAGAGACCAGAGAGAGAGACCAAAGAGAGACCAGATAGAGACCTGAGAGAGAGCAGAGAGAGTCCAGCGAGAGACCAGAGAGAGGCCAGAGAGAGACCAGAGAGAGACCAGAGAGAGACCAGAGAGAGACCTGAGAGAGGCCAGAGAGAGACCAGAGAGAGACCAGAGAGAGACCAGAGAGAGACCAGAGAGAGACCAGAGAGAGACCAGAAAGAGACCAAAGAGAGACCAGAGAGAGAGACCAGAGAGAGACCAGAGAGAGACCAGAGAGAGACCAGAGAAAGACCAGAGAGAGACCAGAGAGAGACCAGAGGGAGAGAGAGCAGTGAGAGAGACAGAGAGAGAGACCAGAGAAAAAATATATTTAACTTTAGCATAATAAATAAGTATAAAACATAAAAATGGATAATGTTTTGATACTTACATGAGTGAGCTTTAAGTCTGTACAAACTCTCTATAGCCTTTTACTCTGGGAATTATTTTAACAATGAAATTAGCAGGTTTTTTTCACTCTTATCCAGACTTTAACGCACTTCTCTCAATCCTAATTTCTCTCATTATTTAACCTCTTGTGTTTTTTGAATGATGTTCCTGGTCCCTGCTCTTGGGTGGTTTTGGCTCATAAGTGTTTTCTTATTGTGGACTTTTTATCACTGCTTTTTATCCCTGGGAAAAGTGCGTATCTGTGAATGGGGGCGGGACGGGCACTTTGGGAGCACACAGTAGATTTATCAGGGTCAGGCGGCTGCTGTAGATAAATGCAGTCGGAGTCGGTGGGAGAGAGGCTGAGGAGATGCCACACACAGGCAGAGGAATGGAAGCCGCTAAAACCAGTCAAAATACACGCCTTTTTGTTTTGCCAAGAAAGATTTGCAACGTTTTTTTGTTATTTTGTTGATGGCATTTTCACACAGATCTGTCACTGAGAGCAGAGAGGCCAAAGAACCAAAACAGAAACCTGTAGTTGCTTTTAATCATAGATAAAAAAAAAGAGTTTAAAGCTGGGGTAAGTAAGTTTTAAACAACAGAACATTTAACTATGATAAAATCCACTTTCTCTCTCAAAATAGTGCGGGTATCTAGTCTCTCTCTCTCTCTCTCTCTCTCTGGTCCCTCTCTTTCTAACCTCTCTCCGGTCTCTCTCTCTGGACTCCCTGCTCTCTCTCTGGATTCTCTAGTCTCTCTCTGGTTTCTGGCCTCTCTCTCTGGTCTCTCTCTTATCTCTCTATGGTCTCTCTCTACTCTCTCTGATCTCTCTCTCTGGTCAATCTCTCTTTAATATATCGCTGGTCTCTCTCTCTTGAATCTCATTTTGCTCTCTCTCTCGGGAGTCTCTGGTGTCTCTCTAATCTTTCTCAAGTCTCTCCCTATGGTTCCTCTCTCTCTAATCTATCTCTTGTCTCTCTCTGGTCTCTTTCTAGTCTCTCTCTCTAATCTCTCTCTGGTCTCTCTCTCTGATTGAATTGCCAGAACATCACAATCCTGAACAGAATCAGACAAACGCCGCCCCCTTCTCACTCACCGGCCTGGTTGGTGGTCACGGTCACGGACACGGCCTGGTCTGGTCCAGGACTCTGCGGCGAGACCCCGTTGACGGCCCAGACCTCGAAGGTGTAGTTGGTGTGGGCCTGCAGCTCGGTGATGGCCACGCGGGTCGCTCTCAGGCTCAGCTGCTGTGGACTGAAGTGGACGCTGTTCCCACACGGCAGGCAGCGCAGGCCGTCTGCGCCGCAACGCTTACAAACCACATTGTAGCTCAGGTCCTGGCGCCCGCCCGAGCTGCGAGGGGCCGTCCACTCCAGCTTCACCGACGTCTCGTTCACGTTGGAGATCAGATGTAGAGGAGCAGTGGGCGGCCCTAAGAGAGAGAGAGAGAGAGAGCATGTTAGCCAAAACTGGGAGGGAGAGAGAACAGAAAGAGAGACTAAAGTGAGATCAGAGAGAAAGAGCTTAGAGAGTCCAGAGAGAGACCAGAAACACTAGAGAGAGAGACTAGAGGGAACGAGAGAGACCCGAGAGATCAGAGAGAGACCAGAGAAAGACCAGAGAGAGACCAGAGAGAGACCAGTGAAAGACCAGAGAGAGAGAGACCAGAGAGAGACTGCAGAGAGAGACTACAGAGAGAGACTACAAAGAGAGACTACAGAGAGACCAGGGAGAGACCAGAGAGGCCATATTGCAGTGGTCAGAGGAGCTACAACAACAAGGGAAAGACACTAGAACATGTTCAGAAGCTGAAAAAAGTTCATTTACACCCAGTTTTTTTGAAATATTCACACTGTTCTTGCAGAGTTTCTCAGGCATTTTGGCACAAATGAATTGCTGCACAAACAAACAGACCTGGGTCGTGTTTCTGCGTTTGTAGAAAGTCAAAGGGATCTGAACTGAACACCTAAAGAGCAGCAGAAGTCTTTCCATTGAACCGTCTCATTTCTCCTTTAATGTGGTGTTTGTTAAAGAGACGCTGGATCCGGTTTCTTCGCGGTTAAATCAGCGACGGCTGAAACTCAAGAAGCTCAAAGATTTCTGTTCTTGGAAGAGTCTAGAACCGCTCAGTCCTGTCCGAGTCAATAATGTGATTTTTAATTCACGTCTTTATATAATTATGGAATCAAAGTTACATTCACAGATGGATAAACAAGAGGAAAATACATTTTAATTTAGCTGGATCAGTCCTGGTTTAGTCCAGGTTCAGTCCTGATTCAATCCTAGTTTTGTCCTGATCCAATCTTGCTCCTGTCCTGCTTTAGTCCTGGACCAGTCTTGGTTTAGTCCTGGTTCAGCCCCAGTTCAGTCCTGGTTTGCTCCTGGTAGAAGTTTGATTCAGTCTTGCTTAAGTCCTGGTCCAGTCCTGATCCAGTCGTGGTCCAGTCCTGGTCTAGTCCAGGTGCAGTCCTGCTTTAGTCCCAGTTCAGCTCTGGTCCAGTCCTAGTTTAGTTCTTGTCCAGTACTGGTTTAGTCCTGGTTTAACCCTGCTTTGGTCCTGGTCCAGTCCTGGTCTACTCCTTCCCCTCCCTCCCTCCCCCACCCCTCTCTATTATAATTAATGTATTTTCTTGTTGATTTCTTTCCAACAGACTATAATAGACTGAGCACTCTCTCTCCCCCTATCTCCTCCATGTTATCTCCCCCTCGCTCGCCCCCTGGAGCGATCGATGTCTGCGGAGGAATGAAAATGTGTGAATCATCTCAGAACGGAAATTAATTATGAGTGTTATTTTTGGAGGAGGCTCCGCGACTCTGGGTGATTTCACACCGTTGCCGTGGGCGACCGTGAAGTGGGAGGGGTCGATTTATGAGTGGGAGGGGCAGATTTATGGGATTTATTGACGGAAATATGGACATTAATATGTTTTCCGTGACACGTGTGACTAACGATTAATCCATGTTTGAAGCGTGTGCGATAAGAAGGAAGGCACATTTATTTGTATAGAACACACACAGCAAAAAAAGATAAAATATAAGGTGAAAATTGCTTGAATGTAGTGTTTTTTATCTTAATTTAACACATTCTGACTGTTTTTATTATGATTCTTCAATGAGACAAAGACATTTCGTATTTTTTCAAGAACTGTTGCTTTACCGTTACATTTTTTGCCAAATTAGAAGAATTTTTGACTTATTTTCCATCACTTTTTGCAGTGCATACACAAGGCAAAAGCAAAGTGATTTAGAGGCATGCATTTTTTCCCATTTCTCTATACAAAACAACAAGGTCTGGATTCTAACTGAGCCATTCTCGCTCACCAACCTGTATCTATCTCCCCAATGGTTTTTGAATATTTATATAATTTCATGTTAGGTTCACATTCATGTCCTGTGCCTGACAAAGCTTGGATAGAGCTAAAAACAGCTCCAGGTCTGTTTCGGATGAGAGACGGATGTTATACCACTGTGACACCTGGTGTTCCCAGAGGTCTCCCATCACAGTTCAAACCAGGCCCTGTCCTGCTTAGCCTCAGAGGTCTGACAGAATCTGGCTTTCCCCTGCAGGTGGCGCCACACATAGTAACTGACAACTATGAGGCAAGAGCAAAATTATATATGATTTAGAGACTGGAATTTGTGCCCATTCCTCTTTACAAAAAACTTTCAATTGGATTTAGGTCTGGATTTTTCTCAACAACCTATATATATATAAACCCAATCGGTTTGATGGTTTTATCAGTTACAAATCCTTTTACAAGCCTGGATGGAGCTAAAAACAGCCCCAGGTCTGTTTGGGAGCAGATGATTTCGCTTCACACTCTTTGATAAAGGACCAGCGACAGAAGGAGACCAGGAGCAGACCAGGAGCGTGTTGTAAAACTGTAAACACCAGAAGCTTCTGCTGCAGCTTTTTTTCAACTCGAGCCAAAATCCGTCATAAACGCAGTAAAAATAGACGTTTAAATTATTACTGAGGAGAAAGAAAAAACAGGAGCGAAACCTCAGCCTCAAGCACAAAAGCACTTTATAAAGAAGACATGAGACCATCCGAGTTGTTACAAAGGTCTCTCTCTCTTTACTTTAGAACAGAACTAGAAAGAGAGTAGAGAGAGGGAGAGACCAGAGAGAGAGACCTGAGGGAGAGACCAGAGAGAGAGACCTGAGGGAGAGACCAGAGAGAGAGACCTGAGGGAGAGACCAGAGGGAGAGACCAGAGGGAGGGACCAGAGGGAGACCGGAGAGAGACTAGAGAGAGAGACTAGAGAGAGACCAGAAAGAGACTACAGTAGAACGAGACCAGAGAGAGAGACCAGAGAGAGACTAAAGAGAGACCAGGACTTAGTAGACTGTGTACTTAAGCACAAACATTTTAGAAAAACCCACAAAGCTGTTTAGAACTGGGCCAGGACCAAACTAGGTCCAAACCAGGTCCAAAGTAAGGCTAAACTAATAATAAACCGGGACTAAAGAAGGACTGAAACAGGACTAAACCATGAAAGAACCATTCCGTACCATGCCATACCTGCTCAGACTCTGCACTGGTACATTCAAACACTCAGCCTGGTCTCTCTCACATTCCTCCAGAATTGAGGAATGTGAAATCCTCAATTCTATTACAGTCTCTGCTCTTAAACTCTCTAAACTTCCCCTATGAGCCTTTCTCTCCGCTGCAGCTTCACAATCATTCCATTATCTTTACAACCAAAGAGAATTCCTCTGCTCTGTGTGATTGACAGGTCTCTGCTCTGCCCCCTGTAAAAACCCTTTACTGACTTATTCTTACAGTATGAGATAAGAGAGAGAGAGAGACAGAGAGAGAGACAGAGAAAGAGACAGAGAAGGAGTGAGAGGGAGAGAGAGAGAGAGACAGAGACAGAGTGAGATTGAGAGGCAGCGAGAGAGAAAGAGAGAGAGAGAGAGAGAGAGAGAGAGAGAGAGAGAGAGACAGAGGAGAGAGAGAGAGACAGAGAGAGAGAGAGAGAGACAGAGGAGAGAGAGAGAGACAGATAGAGAGAGAGAGAGAGAGGCAGAGAGAGAGAGAGACAGAGGAGAGAGAGAGAGACAGAGAGAGAGAGAGAGAGAGAGAGAGAGACAGAGGAGAGAGAGAGAGACAGAGAGAGAGAGAGAGAGAGAGAGAGAGAGACAGAGGAGAGAGAGAGAGACAGATAGAGAGAGAGAGAGAGAGAGGCAGAGAGAGAGAGACAGAGGAGAGAGAGAGAGACAGAGAGAGAGAGAGAGACAGAGGAGAGAGAGAGAGACAGAGAGAGAGACAGAGAGAGGGAGAGAGAGAGAGAGAGAGAGAGGCAGAGAGAGAGAGAGACAGAGAGAGAGGGAGAGAGAGAGAGAGAGAGGCAGAGAGAGAGAGAGACAGAGGAGAGAGAGAGAGACAGAAAGAGGGAGAGAGACAGAGAGAGAGAGAAAGAGAGATTCAGAGAGAGAGACAGACAGAGAGAGAGAGAAAGAGAGATTCAGAGAGAGAGACAGACAGAGATCCAGAGGTGTTCGACCATACATTTGCTTTACCTTGACACTAAAGATAAATATCTTAACCCATGTGCAAAACCCTCTTTAAGCAGATGTACTTTCTCTCCTCTCTCACAGTAGGGTCTCTCTCCTCTCTCCAGTAGAGACTTGGCCCCCGGGTCTCTCCGTCCGCTAAACCATTTCAGTTTCACACATCAGTCTGTCTCTTGGCTCTACCTGCAGCCGGAGCGCCGTGGGGAGCAGGGAGCGTGGGAGAAACTTCTCCCGTGACTGACACCACCTCATTAATCCACAGACAAAGCTCAAAAAGAAGAGAGCGCACAAGCTACCGACCAATCAGGGACCAGAGCTGAAGGGAGCCCAAAGTTACACATAAAGGACTTTTCCAGTTCTGCCAATTGTCTACGAGGAAAATTAAAACTGGTGATTTTATTGTGCTAAAGTTAGAGATTTTACACTGCAAAAAATGATAAAATATGTGGTAATAAATGCTTAAATTGCGTATTTTTTACCTTAATTTTAGCATATTTTGATTGTGTGTAGATTCTCCAAAAGAAAAAAAAGTAATTTAGTCTGATTTAAAGATGTGTGGCTTTATTTTCTCATTCCAAGCGAGACATTTTCCATCGGCAAATCTTGTTTTAAGGCAGTAAAAAAGGGCTCAAATTAAGATAATTTTTTGGTGCAATTTTAGCAATTTTTGACATGAGAGGACCTTCCTCAATCTCAGCCCAAAGCGTCACAAATCGACTCCTAGGGCTCTTTCTCTTTCTTTACAGATGACAACATGTTTTTGTACAAGATGAAGAAGAAGATATACTTTACTTTATTGATCTCAAAATGGAGAAATGCAGTTATTTTATCGGGTTCTTTTATCATCATTAAAGTGGGTTAATGGTGATTGATAAACTGTCCCTGGTTTGTTTTCTTCAGGATGTTTTTTCG